CCCTGGTGCACGCCGTCGCTCAATGGGCACAAGAGTCGGTTTCGACATGAGTTCGTGTTTTTTTTTTCCGTGGGAATCTTTGCCCTCGCACTCTGCATACGCACACCACGGCCCAGATAACGAAAAACAAACGCGGCGACCAGCGCCCTTGGGCGAAACCACTGCTCGATTGTAGTTGTCATTGAGTTGTCACGACCGACGGCCACCAGCAGTACGGCCACCCAAGGAAAACGCCATTGCTCTTAAAGGCTGTCCATTTCTCCCATGTTTTTTTTTCCCCAACGTTGGGTACACCCATTCACCAGTGTGTAAAAAGACGGATTGGGCCCGGCACTCATACTCATCACGCGGCACGCGTTCGGGTGCCATCTCAATCCGAAAGAATGCCGAAACGTTTTTCGATGCCCCCCGTGTCCCCCACTCGCGGGTGGGGACGCGCCCGTTTCCAACGTGTTCCGGTCGACGTTACCCAGAAAAACAGTTGTCTTCGTGCCCACCGACTATTTGGACGAGTCGAGCAAGCAGAGATCTTGGCTTATTGTGGATGTCCAACCTGAGTTGGGTACCCTTACGGCGCATTTCCGACAATCACAACAACGCCGGTGTTTGTTGACCACGTCATTTTTTTTCACGTGATAAGTGGAAACGTTTTGTTTCACACCTTTTCGAGTGCAAATGTCCCGCTGTATCACCAACGACAACCCTGAAGAATATATCATGTGAACATACGCACACCAGAAGCGTTGTGGCCTAGCCCCTGGTTTAGGCCCGCTTCACAGTACAATCCAGCATGCACGCGAAACAGGAGCCACTGGCAGAGGAGGACAAGACTGCTCGAAAATTTCAGCTCCTAAGAAGCACTCTCGGTACACCATGCATCGCTGAGTCGGGGACCGACACGCACACCACGGGCCCAACAAGGCGAAACAACACCAGACCATGTCAAACTGAATCTACAACTGTACACAACGGGGTCATCACCACCATGTGCATCACCCACCCTAAACACGGGATGAAATCCGCAAACACACGAACCCGACTGTGGAGTACACGCTAAGCGGAAAGTGGTGGCACTAGCAAGGCTTTGGCGGTCGGTGGTCAACCCATCAACAAACATAATACATTCCAATACCTCGCATATGCACCTTGCACGTCCACCAAAGCACTACGTCCCACGCGACAAATTACAAAACGCCTGCCCGGCCGAACTATCAATCGGATACCTTTCAGACTTTCGCCCACTTCCAACTCTTCAGGCACAATCCCAACGTGAACAATACTCTACCATGTTTTCCCCCATTCTGCAATACTCAAGCGGTCGACCCGAGCACCGTAGCAAGCATGACAATGTCCACCCTCCCCAGGCAGTCGAATACGCGCATGACGGGCTTCCCGCAAAAGCGCCTGCCGCACCTCCACAGGGCGGCTTCACAGCCAGCAAAGCTATCTTTTGGGTGTTCCGTGACACTTGCTAAAAGCGTCCTCAGGGTTTTTCTGTTGAACCCCTGGTTTTGGCGCTCGTTGATCACCCTTAGCGCGAAAGTGAAGTTGGAAAATGTCATGGTATTGAGCGATCGAAGGTACAACGCCTTCTTCGAATGGTCCTGTTCGTGCGGGTTCAGGTTGATCCCGGCAAGCTCATCACACGTCGTGAAACCACTGTACTGCCGCTGGCACTCCTTGCTGTGGTTCTTCTCGTGAGGTCCGTCTGGGCCCACAAACATCCCCGACTGCCACATCTTATATTTGGCGTGCTCGGACGACTTGTCGTCGAAGGTGGTGTCATGCCAGACGCAATCGTACCCGGCCACCTTGAAGTTCTTCGCGCTCTCATGAGGGGGGACGTCCACCGCCAGTGCGATCTGAAGGGCCATGATTGAGTGCACACCGTCTCCACCCCCGATGCCGCAGCGAGTGGCACTCTCTGGAAGTTGCACGACCACGGCAAGAGCGTCAAGCGTTACCGAATGGATGGATACAGAGGTGCTCATGATTCATGCTGTGAAGGTTATCAACTGTAAACCGAACCACGCGACCCAACACGCCATGACCCATGTCATGTAAGCCTGTAGATGCCCAACATCGATCGCCCTTGAACGAAACGGGCAATACGAGCCCTCCAGAAAACCATCATGAGACACACCTGCGATCTTGCGCTCTTTCTCGCCAATCGGCTGTACTCCGTCGACAATGAACTTTGTCTTTGCCTGCAGCAATCCGCACGCGAGGAAAAGGAGTGGCTGTTGGACAACGCCTTAATTCTGACTACGCGTTTCAAACCGACAGCATACCGCACAGAGAAAAGCGAAGGCGCGCACGTCGACAGGCGAAACTCTATATTAGAGGGACTGGTGGATTGTTTGGAGGAGTAGATGGGACCTTCGATTGTGGAACCACTCAGCAGAGTTTGTGCACCTCTCGACCACGACCTTTGACTTTGACTGCAGCAACAATTAGAAGCGGCAAAGGTTGGCTGTTCGAACACACCTCAAATATCACCACGCGTACATATGGAAAGAAGGAAGGAGGCGGCTGGAAAACAGTTTGCCAACGGCCCGACGCGCAGGGGATCCCAGGCAAGCGATTCTGAAGGGTGGACTCTAGAGGGCTAGCGAGAGGCGAATTGTGTGGAGGGATGGATACAGCCTTCGTTTTTGAAACCGCTAAACATTACTCGTCCACCCGTGCGCCAAGTCAATGATTGCATCACAAAGGGCAAACCGAAAACCCAACGCCGAATTCCTAACCCAAAGTGCTCTCAGAAAGGTTGAAATACCGATGCAATGACCAAGAGAAGGCAATAGGTTGGTGTACTCAACCTCCGGCTGCTAAATCATCTGACCATTAATGCGCTTACCGCCGCGTATGCATGCAACCCGTCCACCTGGGTAGCATAGAGGGTTGAAGTGTCACCGTCCACGAAATCCCCCGGACCAAACCAATCCGGCAAGCATGCGCCATTTCCATTCCTGGCCCCGCGCGCAACCACCCGCACTTCCCGCTAGTGCTTTTCGGCGTCACCAGTGCTGACTGCGTCCACGCTCTCAGCGGTGGTCCCGACAGGCACTACTCCGTGAGAAGGCCTCCGTAGGGTCCACCCGGGAGCCCCTATCTCTAGCATGCCTGGTTCATCTTCGGCGATGTTTCGGAGCCAGACGTACGTGAAGATGAGGACCTCGAACAAGGAGATCACCCGAATTGCTGCCTCCCGGAGAGCTGCCACATCTCTCGTGGCCGCCAAGTTAACGGCCTTCGGTACTGGCCCCCGTGTTTCGGCGGACGCGTGCAGAAGGTCGTAGACGTTTACTTGGTTCTGCACACGATCGCCCTGGGCAGCAGCCTTGAGGGCATACACGTCGACTTTGCTGTCTCTCTTTGGTGTTACAGGTAGAGAAACTTGCGGTGCTTCGACGGTGGTACTTGCGCTGTTGCTGCCNGCTGCCTCCCGGAGAGCTGCCACATCTCTCGTGGCCGCCAAGTTAACGGCCTTCGGTACTGGCCCCCGTGTTTCGGCGGACGCGTGCAGAAGGTCGTAGACGTTTACTTGGTTCTGCACACGATCGCCCTGGGCAGCAGCCTTGAGGGCATACACGTCGACTTTGCTGTCTCTCTTTGGTG